TTTTCCCTAAGAGTTTCTTTCTTTTGTGTTTTATATTGTGAATCGCAACTTGAATTATTGGGTCAGTCTCCCAAAATAGTAGCGATGGAAAAAGCTTATCCAGTGACCATATACTGATGGGCTTCATGAAGACTAACACCTGGTGCTCTATGTTAGGAGACATCTCTGAATCTCATGGCAGTGGAGATCAGCATAAAAACCAGAGGAGATGTTTGAGGTGAGTGTCGTTCAAATATGAGAAAATAATGCATCACAGGAAAGTCCTAAGGTGTCAGAACATTAAAATACAGATATCGTATTTTGTGTGTGTGTGTGTGTATAAATCAGGGTTTAGAATTGGTTGGAAAGGGTTCAGCAATTGCCAACATAAATGTGGGCAGCTTATCCATTGTATAACAAACAATCACACCTGTTGGATTTTTATCCAAGTAGGAAATAATCAGTGCTACCTGCTCAAAGATGGTGGGTGACTGCATTGCTTTCTGTGTCCCTGTCACGGCAGGTGCCAGTAATTCAGTTCCCACATGGATCCCAACATTGTCAGGAGCCTGATGCATGGCACTGGCTTATTGAGCTGTGGAGAACAAACACATTCAACACAGTGCAGTTGTCTGCCATGCTTGAGCAGGGTATCACTCTTTGTGTATCTATGTCTGTGTGTGTACATGAAGCTAGCTGTACAATTTAGTAAGTTCAGGAATACAGTGACAGCAGTGAGAGTATTTCTGCCAGATGGTTTATCCTATACAATGTGAGGCAGTTAGTACATAACCCATGCGTGTTCAGTGTATTTGGAAATGGTAAAACAGGAACAAATTTGTTACCAACAGCATATTGCCTATTTTTAACAGAAATTGTTCAGTAGAGAACCATTGTGAAAATGAAGGCAAGCATCGTGCAAAAACCTTAAGCTGGATTCCAAAACTTGCTGTGTTTAAAAGAAATCATTCAGAAGTAACTCCTTTTGAATGCTGTGAGTGTGGAAAGTCCTTCATGGATCAGTTATCCCATAAGCATCACACCAGATCTCACACTGGATGCAGTACTAGTCAGGTTAAGGAACATGGAGAAGCCTGCAGTTCTCCCTCGCCCCTGACCACTTCTATGGGAAGTCTTGATGGAAAGAAACCTGGAAGATACAAGGTATTTGAGAAGGATGTCATTTGCCCATCAAACCTTGAGAATCCTGTGACAACATGCACTGCAAAGAAACGCTGTAAATGTCACAAATGCGGGGAAGATTTCTCTAGTTTGTCTTCCTTCTCTAAACATGTGAGAGGTCACAAGAATCAATGTGAAGAAAGTAGTAAAACCACTAGTCTTCCTTCATCCTTGATACGTAAAACATCTCACAGTATAGAGAGGCCACACAAATGTAAGGAATGTGGGAAAGCCTTTAGTTGCTCGTCACATCTTATTGTACATAAGAAAATTCACAGCAGAGACAGGCCACACAAATGTAAGAAATGTGGGAAAGCCTTTAGTGAAGCCTCAACCCTCACAGAACATAGAAGAACACACCATGAGGTCAGGCGATTTAAATGTACAGAATGTGAGAAAGCCTTTAGTAAGCCCTCAAAGCTCTCTGTACATATGAGAACTCACAGTGGAGAGAGGCCCTTTGCATGTAAGGTATGTGGGAAAGCCTTTGTGGAAAAGTCAGCCCTCACTAAACATAAAACCACTCACACTGGAGAGAAGCCTTATGTGTGTAAAGAATGTGGGAAAGCATTTAGGATGCTCTCAAACCTCAGTACTCATACAAAGACTCACAGTGGAGAGAGGCCATATGAATGTGAACAATGTGGAAAAGCCTTTCATCGTTCCTCACACCTCGTTGCACATAAGAAAACTCACAGTGGAGAGAGGCCACACAAATGTAAGGAATGTGGGAAAACCTTTAGTCGTCCCTTTTGCCTCTCTGAACACATAAGAACTCACAGTGGAGAGAGGCCTTATGAGTGTAAGGAATGTGGGAAAGGTTTCAATTGTTCCTCAGACCTCACTAAACATATGAGAATTCACAATGGAGAGAAGCCTTACACATGTCAGCAGTGTGGGAAAGCCTTTAGTCAGGCTCCAGCCCTCACTAAACATAAACAAACTCACAGTGCAGAGAGGCCTTATGAATGTAAAGAGTGTGGAAAAACCTTTAAGTGGGCCTCATACCTCGATATACATGGAAGAATTCACAGTGGACAGAAACCTTATGAATGTAAGGAATGTGGGAAATCCTTTATTCATTCCTCAGCCTTTAGTAAACATAGGAGAATTCACAGTGGAAAGAGGCCTTATGAATGTAAGGAATGTGGGAAAACATTTAGTTGTTCCTCATATCTCAGTAGACATTTAAAAACTCACACTGGAGAGAGGCCTTATGAATGTAAGGAATGTGGGAAAGCCTTTACTCGTTCCTCACACCTCAGTAAACATGTGAAAATTCACAGTGGAGAGAAACCGTATGAATGTAAGGAATGTGGGAAAGCTTTTGGTACTTCCTCAGCCCTCACTAAGCATGCAAGAACTCACAGTGGAGAGAAGCCTTATGAGTGTAAAGAATGTGGAAAAGCCTTTAGTTCTTCCTCATCCCTTTTTATACATAAAAGAACTCATACTGGAGAGATGCCTTACGAATGTAAGGAATGCGGGAAAGCTTTTAGGCAAACATCAAACCTCAAGACACATATGAGAACTCACAGTGGAGAGGCCTTATGAATGTGAGGAAAGTAGGGAAGCTTTTAGTCCTTCCTTGTCCATCACTTACGAGAGATTACTTTGTGTAAACGTGGGATTTTTCATCTTTATCGTTATAAATTCAAACAGCAAATTTGCAACAACCTGGGAGGAAAGAACAGAGTTTCTCAATGAGTAGGATAGTTGTACTAATTCAAAGAAAGGGTTATTTGAGTTGCTTTGTATTTGGCTTGTACATATAAACTGCAAGGAATAACTTTGAGCAAACGTGGCTTTGTAATTTTTAATGTTTTTATAGGTGTAATTTTTAAACAACTAAATACACTTGTATTTGTTTTAAAAGTGTTTAGTTTTGTTTGCATATTTAACACATTTGCTTACATTCTTTCCTGTTTAGAATTAACTATTTTTCTTTTTTTAAATAGTAGAGTTCTCATATGGTGATATCTTGACAGTAGAAATGTTTTGTTTCTTCTCCTACTTTCACCTACTAATTGTTATTACCTATGATTATTATTACTGTGTTTTTGTTTTTATCATCGTAAGGTGGCATCAGGTCTGACCACTGAATATTTTCACAAAAAAATAATGGTAATTGCTTGTTGCCTTTACAGTATTTAGGTTCATGAAAGGTTTTAGGTATGCTTTATTTTGGATAGTATGGGGGAACTTCCCTGTGTATGTTAAAAACTTTTAGGAGGGCCTGGTATGTGAGTAGTGCTAAGTAAGTCACTACTGTTGGGACCTGTGGTGAAGGACAACCTCTGGCTGAATACTATGTGTTGAAGTCTTTTACAGTAGATGAAGCAGCTCTATTTCATGCTCTGGGTTAGCTGGCCTGACTATGCTCCCCTGTCTCCACCATAGGCTCACAAGAGCATCTTCTTCTCACTGAATTGTTAGTTATTGACACTGTGATTCGGCCTCCCACTGGTGGTTTTTACCAAACTCTGTGTTCATTAATGTTTTCTATGTTCTCTTGGTATGTTCCCAACCCTGTGGTCCTCTCCTGCCGAATCAGTACAGCCTCAGATCATTCCAGTCAACCATAAACCTTCTTCAGTACAGGGAATCTGTGCTTTGGCAAAGGATGTCTGTATCAGACACTTGGTGGCATTATCCCATCTCTGGTGGTGTAGTGCCTAAGGCATTTGACTGCTAACCAGAAGGCTGGCAGTTCAAACCCACCAGCCACTCCTCAGAAGGAAGATTGGACAATTTACTTCCGTAGAGATACCGCCTCTGAAACCCAAGGAGGGATTGCTATGAGTCGGATTCCACTTCACAGCAATGAGTTTGGTTTTTGTGTGATCTCCCGCCAGGGGCCGTTTCCAGTGTGTGGACGATGGGCTCTGTCTTCTTCATCCCTCATGTAGTGTCCAGAAATGCCAGCAGGCTCCCTCTGTAGCGCAGCGTCCTCTCAGGTTCTCCAGCCTGCACATACCTGCTACCTGTGCTGTAGAAGCTGTGTTTTAACCCAGGGCCAATCTCTGATCATATTCCCCAAGATTCCCAAATGGTACGAGATTGTAGCCCTGATTCTTTGCTTTTTTTGCCTTTCAAATTTTTTGTTCCTCTTTGGAAGACTCTCCCATTACATCAGTAATTGATCAACAGGGCTCCATTTTGCATGTCAGCGGCCAGCTGGCAGGATCTGAAGGCATTTCTCAGTGACACCTTGGGGGAGACAGGTGCTAGTATTTTCTCATGTTTAAGAGGCAAGGACACAGGTAGAGACACTGGCTTCATAATGGACCAAACACAGAGATGTTTTATAAAAATACCTCATGGAGCCAGCATTGACAAGGTAACTGACCTCTGACATTTCTCATGCTGTGGCTTTACCATATTAAATCATTGATTCATCACATCAACCTTAGGAGGAACTTGTTGTTACAGACTCTTTCCCACATGAGCAAACTGAAGCACAAGCAGTGGGAGCTTTTTCTCAGAGTCACCGCCTGTTAGGGGTGTGGTGTAGTAAATTACGTCGTGTGGCTTTTCTAGCCATCTTTGTAAACTTTGTGATGGAATTTGCCATGAGCAACTGAGTAGCTCCTGACTGTTAAACTTATCCACCTGGGGTATTTCTGTTGGGAGTGTCAGGAAGCAATCTTCTGAGAAGTTCACTCTCTTAGGTGTATAGAATTCTGATGTTGGGATTGGTTAGTTTGGTCACTCTGCCAGGCTCAAAAAGGAGCCTTCCTGGAGGCAGAAGGAATCTCTCACTGCCAGTTGGGAGCAACAGGAGACACACCTCCTAGGAGAGAGACACGAGAGACATGCACTGCTGGGGGAGAGACTGAGAGACGTGCTGCTGGGAGAGAAACTGGAGGCTGAGAGATTAGCGTGTTCCTGAACTTGAATTGTAGTCTGTCGCTTCCATACTAAACCCCATAATCTGTGAGTTCTATTGGCCACTGCAGCAAATTATCGAACCCAGCAGAGAGGTGATGAGTGCTGCAGGAGGAACGGTTGGTGTCAGGGTTGATGAAAGGGGTGGAGGGAGGCAGCGTGTCTGGCCTCACAGTGATAGGCCTTGGGCTACTGATGGTGATTCTGTCTTCCTCTTGTGGGGTTAGAGGAGGTCAGAAGGTGTGGCCTCCCTGTGCCTCTGCCAGGGGGGCATCAGGATTTGACCCGGGAAAGGGAAAGCTAAGAGTTGACAGCAGTCAGTGCTCTGTTCCATCATTCTTGGATACACTTGCCATTTGAGCTTCTTTAAAATTTTCTTTCCTTTTTTCACAACATCCCCCTTACCTCAGTGATTCTCCCTTGGCACCATTTTCCCCCTCAAATGACAGCTCTCAATTCTCAATAGATGGAGACATTTTTAATAGAAGTGGGAGGGAGGCATGTCCTAATAAAGTCTAGTGTTTTGCAGGGCAAGGATACAGCTAGATTTCTTACCATGCATACATTGATCCTGGAGCACTGAGCCCTAGTGGAGGCCATGTCACAGGGAGATAAACTAGCTTACTAATATGGGAGAAACCCAGGGACATAAAAACACATCCCTCTTACATAACAGTAAGAAGCTGTGGTGGCACAGTTGTTAAAGCATTTGGCTGCTAACCTGAATCTTGGACGTTCCCACCCACCTGCAACTCCACAGGAGGAAGATGAGGTAGTCTGCTTCCATAAAGATTCACAGCCTTGGAAACCATGTGGAGCAGTGCTACTCTGTCCTATAAGATTGTCATGAGGTAGAATCAACTTGATGGTAATAGGTTTGATTTTGTTGTTGATGCATAGGAGAAGCTAGCATTTACTTAATACTTGACCCGTGACAGTTTTCGTGGGAGTGCTGCACCATATTAGCTCACTTCATCCTCACATCAGCCTTCTGAGGCACATGGTGTCACAGCTTCTTTTTCACACACGAGGAAACTGATGCTTAGGGCGGGTGAGCATTATTCTGAGTCACTGTTAGTTGTGGCTTCAAGATTTCAACCCAGAACGGGAAGCTAAGAGTTCACACTATTCAGTGTTCTGTCCCATCACCCTTGGACACACTTGTCCAGCACAGGCCATTGACTCTGTCACCGGGAGGAAGGCTCACTGCCTAGAAGCCACCACAGGACTCCCTTCATGGCTTTGTTCCCCAAGCTGTTGGTTGAGTCATTTTTCTTGGGTGCAACCATCGTGTACAGGCCTGAGGCAAACACAGACGGGAGATGGACATGTGAGATAGAGGCAGAGTTTGAAGTGAAGGTCTGGGTGGGTCATCCCAATTCCATGAACCCAGGAACATGGACTCCTGAAGAATCAAAATGGTTTTGTCCTACTGACATAATAAAACATAATACAGAGGTGAGAACAGACGGATGGATGAAATCTCCTATAGGGAATAGTGAAAACCATCGGGAACCTTATTAATTAAGTAATACAGAACATGCCATCCAGTCCTTCACCCCTAAGTAAACCTATATGCTAATGCACAGAAAGCTTTTTATACTTCAGGGTGCAGATTTACATTAAAAAAAATAATAATCTTCCATAGAAATCCAATGTGTGATTTGGAATTTTAATTCATCAGGTTTAAATAACTCCTCCCTGCCTTTTGGCACATAAATTAATCCACTGATAAAAGTCTCTTCTGTGTAGACACAGCTACAGAAGAGATGTATTTGATGATTAGCTTTTGCTGTCTGAAGTGCCAGGGGTTCAGGATCACTTTCTAGTGCACCACATGACAGCATCAAACTGGTCATTAGCTCTCATGGTCAGAAGTCATGTAGCCTACAGATAGCATCAGAAGTTCATCTGACTCTGGGTGATTGGATAGTGTGAGAGATTGCAAACCTGGCTGCTAAGGGAAATGCAGTGAGGGAGAGCAGAGGACACCAGTTACTGGAATAACGGACTCATGTATGTTCCCCTTCCCCAGGCTGCTCTTCTGGCATAAGACTGTGGGTGCGATGGGCTACAGTTAGGTAAAATAAATCACAAAGTACATCTGACTGAAGCAGCCATCAGAAGTTAAGAGTTTCTTCCATATCTGAACAGTCAGCAGCATCTGCAGGACTGTGATGGAGGTGACATTGATGTCAGCAAGGACAGCGTGGGGAGGAGGAAGGATGTGCATGTGGAGGTGGGGGTCTGAGATGAAGCCTGGGGTGATGGTCAGGTTTCCAGTGAAGGTGACCAGATACATTGACATTAAGAGTCTGAACGGGAAGGGCTACAAATCTTGGCCCTTTGAAAATCCCAGAAAAAAGTAGGTAATTCATGTACCATTTTCTGTTTCCATGTGGTTGTAGTGAGGATAAGGAAAGAGAAAAAGGACATACCCAATTTCCAAACAAACTGAAATTATTAACCCAGGAGGAATGGGATAGTTTCTTGTTTTTATAATTTTTATTGTGATTTGGGTGAAAGTTTACAGGACAAATTCACTTTCCATACAGCAGCTCACACACACTTTGTCTCATGACATTGACTATAATCTCCCACAGTGCAACAGCTCACCTCCCACTTCCTCCCCCTAGCCACCTCTTCCCTGTATACTTTCCTCCCACGCACTCCTGTCCCCCGAGCTGTCTCCCTGTGTAGACACAGCCCTTCTATTCTTCCATGATTATTCTCTCCAAGGAGCATATCTACCTAATGTAAATGTTAGCTCATATGTCTGTCTTTTCTTTGGCTGGAAGCCCCAGGAGTGGGTTTAATTCCAGACCTGAAAGGCAGCTACAGGCCATAGTCTCAGGGGTTCCCCCAGGCTCTATCAGACCAGCAAACCTGGTCCCTTTTTCTTTTTCTTTTTTTTTTTAAATGATTTTGAGTTTTGTTCCACATTGTTCTCCCACGCTATCCTGTATCTCCTACAGAGATCTCCTTCCAAGTGGGGACAGTGATAGCTGGGCACTATCTAGTTCTTCTGGTCTCATAGTCATATGAGCTGAGGATCACATGGTGTACCAGTCCCTTGGACTAATTGTTTCCACATGTCTTTGGTTTTCTTCATTCTTTGCTTTGGGTGATCAGAGACCCATCATTGCATGTAGATGGCCACTTGCAAGCTTTTAAGAGCCCAGTCACTACTTGCCAAAGTAGCATATGGAACAGTGGTTTTGTGTAGTATGTTATACCAGTAGAGCTTGATGTCCCGTGTGATCATGATCCCAAGCCCACAGATCCAACTACTCGCTCCCTCTGGGTAGCTGGCTGTGCCCAGGAAGTGACTACCACCTTGTGGGAATGGGATAGTTTATATTCTGCTGTAAAGGATTCGATTAGTCCCTATTTTCTTTATGGTACTGCTCTTTAGGGAATCCGTAGTGCCTTTTCTGGTTAGTGAATTCCTGCCCCTCCTGCAGCCACTCCCCCAAGCACAGTTATGTTGTATGGTTTCTATTCACTAGAGAAGTTCACCTGAAGAATGTCTATTAAGTGCTATGGGCCAGGTACTGTCTAGGCACTAGGTACACAGGGCTGAGAAGTGGTAGTCCTTACAGACCAATGGTGGAGGCGGAATACAATCAAATAACTTAATCTCGTATCTCATCAGAAGGTGACAAGTGCTCTGAAGACAGCAGGCGTACGGGAGAGAGTGAAGAGGGGTTGCATTTTTCACTTGGTGTTCAGGAGAGATAGCAGATCAGGCAACGTGGACTGAGGCCTCAGGGATGATAGTGGCAAACGTGTGCCAGAGCGGACAGACTGTGCATAGGCCCTGAGGAAGGGGCTTGACTCAGATGTTCAAGGCCAACAAGGCAGGCACTGGTGAGAGGAATGTGCATGAGGGAGAGTGGTAGGAGATTGTGTTCGATTGTGATCATTTCTTCATGTGCTTTTTGCCTGCCTCAAGGTCTTTTTTTGGTGATATGTCTGTTCTTGTCCTCTGCCCACTTTTTAATTGCATTATTTGTCTTTTTGTTGTTGAAGTTTTGATGTTTCCTGTAAATTTTAATGATTAGCACCTTGTCCAATAATTCATTAATTAAAATTTTTTTTTTTCAATCTGTGGTTCTCTTTCAACTCTTTTGATGAAGTCTTTTTATTTACACACATGTCTAATTTTTATGAGGTCTCAGTCATCTATTTAGGAGCTCTGGTGGCATAGTGCCTCAGGCATTTGACTGCTAACCAGAAAGCTGGCAGTTCAATCCCATCAGCCACTTCCAAGAAGGAAGCTTGGGCAATCTACTTAGTAGTGATACTGCCTCAGAAACCCAAGGAGGGGTCACTGTGCCGACTCCATGGCAGTGAGTTTGATTTGGTCACTAGATGTCATTTTGTCTGATGTGGATTTTTAGTTATGTTTCATAGTGTATTTGTGCCAGGTATTAAGATCCGTAAGTTTGTCCCTATGTTTTCTTTGATGCATAATTTGATAGTTTTGGGTTTTACATTTATATCTTAGATCCATCTTGAGTTGGCTTTTGTTAATGATGTGAGATGGGGATCCTGTTTTCATTTTTCTGCTAATGGATATCCAGTAATGCCAGCACCTTTTATTAAAAAGAGTGTCTGTACCCCATTTAATGAGTTTTGGCTGTTTGTCAAAGATCAGCTGTCCGTAAGTGATGGATTTCCTTCTGGGTTCTCAATTCTGTTCCATTGGTGTATATGCCTTTCATTGTACCAGTAACATTCTGTTTTGACTACCTTGGTTGGATAGTAGATTTTGAGACTGGGATACGTAAGCACTTCTATTTGTTTTATGTTAGTAAAAAACCAAAACCAAACTCACTGCTGTCAAGTCAAGTCGACTCATAGCAACCCTTCCTTGGGTTTCTGAGGTGGTATCTCTACAGTAGTAGATTGCCCAAACTTCCTTCTGAGGAGTGGCTGGTGGGTTTGAACCTCCAGCCTTCTGGTCAGCAGTCAGATGCCTTAGGCACTGCACCACCAGAGCTCCTTTCTAGTAGTGCTTCATTCTTCCGGGGTCTTTTTCCATTCTGTGTAAATTTGGTGATTATTTTTTGCATCTCTTTAAAGAATGATGGAGTCTTGATGGGCTTTCATTATGTGTGTAGCTTGCTTTGAGTAGTATGACATTTTCTCAGTGTCAAGAGTTTTAACATTAATATACCATGAGCATGGTATATTCTCTCATTTATGTAGGTCTCTTTTGGTTTTTTGTAGTACTGTTTTATAGTTATATTTCTATATGTTTTGTGTGTCTCTGGTTAGATTTAGTCTTGAGTACTTTATCTTTTCAGTGGCTGTTATAAATAGTATTCTTTTCTTGATTTCCTTTGTCTGCATTAGTGTAAAAGAATCTAATGGGTTTTTTCATATTGATTTGTACCCTGCCACTATGCTGAATCTTTTCATTGGTTCCAGTACTTTTCCTGCTGAGTCTTTGGGATTATTTATATATAGTATTATATCATCTGAAATAGAGATAGTTTGACTTCTTTGCCAATGTGGATGCCTTTTGTTTCCCTTTCTTATCTTATTACTCTGGCTAGGACTTCTAGTACAATATTGAAAGAGTGGTAGTAAAGGGTATCTTTGTCTATCCATTTGTGAAAGGATTGTTTTATTCAGTAGAGGTGAAAATCAAAACAACAGTGAGATAGCATCTCACCCCACCATTATTAGTAAATGTCTACAAAACAGAGAACAAGCGCTGGTGGGGATGGAGAGACTGCAACCCTTCTACACTGCTAGTAGCACTGTAAAATGGAGGAACTTCGGTGGAAAATGGTATGTGCTTCCTTAAAAAGCTGGAATTAGAAATACCATATAATCCAGCTGTTCTGTTACCTAGTGCTGCTCTGACAAGAATACATCACCAGTGGGATAGCTTTAACATACAGGAGTTTATTCTCTCACAGTTTGGAGGCTTTAAGTCCGAGTTCAAAGCACGAGGCTCTAGGGGCTGAGTGAAAGCCCCTCAACCTTGGCCTTCAGCTCTCGCTCCTGCTCCTGGCCCCCTGGAGCTAAAGGCTTTTCTTCACTCAGACAGCTGCTGGCTGCTGAGACTGAGAAGCCCAAAGTTGACAAGTAAAAGGCACAGTCCCTGTGTTACCAAACCACACAGCAAGCCATTAATTCAAGTCCATTGAAACTCCCAAGGTCAGCAGAGCATGGCAGGCTGCTGAACGACACGGCTACCTGCCGCGTACAAATGTGCTATAAGCTAGAGACAACTCCCAAAGCTGCTGCTTATATATAGGAAGCAGACCACATACCCAAAGCATCTACTCAACTGCTCCAATACATTCCACCATGGAATTAATTTCCAATCTTCCCATTGGGAATAACTGCATCCAGCTGACCAGCCAGTCAACCAGGCCCAGCCAAGTGGACACACAAACATAGCCACCACATCTAGCAATCCCACAACTAAGTCTATATTCTAGAGCAGTAACAGCCCTGACATGAAGAGATATATGCACACTGTTTATCAGCAACATTGTTCACAATTGCCAAAGGATGTAAACAACCTAAATGTCCATCAGTGGGATGATGGATAACCAAGCTATTGTACGTACACACAATGGAATACTATGCAACACTGAAGAACAACGATGAATTTGTGAAAAATCTAATAACATGAGTGCACCTAGAGGACACTGTTCTCAGTGAAATTAGTCAATCCGTGAAGGATAAATATTTTATGTGATCACTATTGTAAAAATTCAAAAGATAATTTAGGCATAAAAAGAAGTCGCCTTTAATGCTTATCTGTTGTGGGAGGGGAATGTTGTGTCAAACATTAACTAGAGGGTAAACATGTTAACTTGCGTGAAGGGGAAGGCTATGCACAATAATGGGAACTTCTGTTTTGTAGATAATTTGTTACATTAAAAAATGTGAAGTTTATATATTTATTTTAGGTTGCTTCAGAATGACATTGGCCACAAAATTGCATGTATCCCATACTTGCTGGCAAATGATAGAACCCTAATAAATGATTTTGAATGATTTAAAAAACAACCAACCATAAAGACACGGTGTTTGAGTATGATGAAGAGCCAGGTGGCCTCATATCTGCTGAAACGTCATGACGCAAGTTGTCCCTCAGCTTTGCACTTTATTCATTTGTGTTTCAGAGATGTCCTGTGAATTGAATTTGGTGTTTTCATGATTTCCATTTGGGTCTCAGTCGGGCTTCTGTATTACATCTTTTTAAATATT